TGATTAGTGGGCTACGGGCTGGGCCTAGAAAGGCAGACCACTTGAGTGCTTGTTCAGCATACAGGAGAAAACCCCTCCAACGAAGAAGCTCAGCTATAAAAGGAGAGAAAACTCATATGGAAGAGAGGTTGATCTTTTCTAAAAAAAGCAAGAACGAAAGAGCATATTGTAAATTGTAACATTCTCAAGAAGGAATCAACAACCACAGTGAATGTAGCTCTTCATTTTATAAGAGTGAACCACTATAAATCTTGTGTGTTTTTCTACTTTAAGTATCATTTCCTATATTGCTTACTATACAAAAAATACCACAAGCACATCAAATTCCTACACATAACGTATACTTAAGCCGGTAATCCGACGGGAAACCCAAAGGTAAACCGGCCTGTTTTGTTGGCGAAAATCCACCGTCAAGATATATAATAAGTATTCAAATCATGAGCCAGAGAGGCTGAAGCTTCACTATTATTATTATTATTTTTTTTTTAATGAAGCTTCACCAATTACACGAAATGAAGACTGAGAAAAACGAACACAATCCAACTTTTCCTGATTGGTACAAATTTACATATTTAATAAAAAGTTGCAAAACAAAAATTAACTATAGACACAGAAAACATTGACCTGACAAAATACCAACAACAATAATATTAGAAATTTGAGGAAAAATCTAAAGCAGTTACTATAGACTCACACCCTTACCTAATACTTGTTTGTCGACCTGTATCAACAAACCACACATATCGTGAGAAAAAAACTAATGAGCTGACTTCCATCTTCAGATAACAACAGAAATTACTAAAATCAAAGAAGAGTCAAACAAATGCAGCAATATTAAACAAAAACAAAATAACAATAAAAATAAAAGAGAAAGAGGGAACTGCATTGGATCATGGGCGCATGGACAAAAAAAAAAGGTTGTAAGCAGAAAAATTTACTTCACTTAAAATGAAATTCAGCGTAAACATTACAAGGAACGTTAGAGCGTACCCAGATCCCGCACTTGGAATTCGATGTTGTTATATTGCAGCATCCAGTGGCTGCATCCAATCCAAGTTAATGTCATTGATGAAATAATACAAGCAAGTGGAATCAATGTTGAGTAAAGTTGTGATACAATTGTATCTAATTACATCAGCAGCAAATTTTCTCACAAACTAAACAAGAAGCAAATAAAATATTAAAGATCTACACTCTTAACTAAATACAGAAAAATCCTACACACACACACCCACAGAAAGAAACCTAGATTAACAATCCAATCAAATTAATAACACAGAAAAAGCATAGATTTGCAGTCAGATCAAGAACAGAATATATATATATATATATATATCCGAACACAGAAAAATCTTACACTTAATCAAGAACACACAAAAAACCAATAAATCAAATCATTTACATAGAAAGACTTAAATTTACGGTCAACAGAATATATATATATACAGATTATATATATATATATATATATATCCGAACACAGAAAAATCTTACACTTAATCAAGAACACACAAAAAACCAATAAATCAAATCATTTACATAGAAAGACTTAAATTTACGGTCAACAGAATATATATATATACAGATATCCGAACACAGAAAAATCCTACACTTAATCAAGAACACACAAAAAACCAATAAATCAAATCATTTACACAGAAAGACTTAAATTTGCGGTCAACAGAATATATATATATATATATATATATAGATATCCGAACACAGAAAAATCCCACACTTAAATCAAGAACACACAAAAAACCAATAAATCAAATCATTTACACAAAAAGACCTAGATTTGCGGTCAGATCAACACCATAAGAAAAATCCTACACTCAGATCAAGAACAGGGCAAAACAAACCCTAGACTTTCATCAGGGGAGGTACCTGATAACATATTTCAGTTCCGGCATTTGATTATTCTCACTAAAAAAGGAGCCATTTTCATTGTTATTCTGCGCGCTGCTAGAATTAGGTCCGTCTGTTTAGGATTAGATATTGGCGCCAGTCCGGCAGTCCAGTCCAGAATAGAGAAAATTTATTTAGATAGTGCTTAGAAAACATCCTTTCTCGTTTACAAAATAAACATTTTACATTTTTACAAACTAAAATTGGCAAAATAAAGATTGGTGAAATTGATAAAATAATCTCTTTATATACATATATAACTTTTTTAAACATCACTGTATTGTTCTTTATAAAAATAGTCGTTTTTGTTCATTCCGTAGTAATGTTGCAAATAAGAATTTATGAAAAGTTATTTTACTAATTAAGAAAAGTTTTTACTAATAAAGTTTTTTTTTATTAACTATTGTTACAAAGGTGGTTCTATATGCATTCTTTTTTACTCTCTAAACTCTTTTTAGATTAAAAATTTCTAATTACAAAAACACGCTTGAATAAAGTACAAAAAAAAAGACAATAGATTTAATTATATAATTACGTTTTACTACAAAAGGGAAACTAACGATAAATGGTCTTTTTTCTACACAGTCTCTAATATCATATTAATAAATTATAAATTATTTTTAGTTTAAAAATCTATAGCAAAACTCTAATTTCTACATCTCAATCACTATTCTAAAAATTACATAGAGGTATGGTAAATTTTCTTTGCTATTGTTTTTCGTTTTGTGTTTATATTTGTTTACTAATTAATTTTTTAAGCTAATCATTATATTTATTTTTTTTTTCATTTTTTGTCTTGTGAGATTATGGTCTCTCTTTAGTCTATTCTCTCTTTCTATATCTCTTTTATAAAGATGGTGCTTGTGATCGTGGGTTTTTGCTCAAATACTTGTGCACATAATTGTATATATATCTTGCTGCACTTTGTCCTCTATGCAATCCGAGGGCTGACCAAGATGCAACTCACCTTTTGTTTTTGTTTTTTTTTAAGTTTTTTCATTTACTCCTTTATTTATAATTTTTAGTTTTTTTTGAATTGTTTAATTTGTGTTTTTTTTTTGTTTGCTTTGTATTTGGACGTTTTTGAAAGTTGCTCATTATAAAAAACAAAAAAAACAAAAGAGTAAATAAAAATAAATAAAGAGATATAAACAAAAGATAGAAGGAGAGGTGTGAAGAGTAACAAAGTGGGTGTGGAGAGAAAATATGGGGTGTAAATAAAACATCTTTAATAATTTTATTAAAATAATTAGGGGTAATTTTAGAATAGTAAGGGTGTGTAAAAAGAAAATTTAACCATTTAAAAATTATGTGAGGTGTGTAGTTAGAAGGGGATGTGGAGAGCAAAAAAAAAGGGGTGTGAATAGAACCATCCTTTTATAAACGGCTATGTGAAATTTGTTAGAATAACTACCAAACAAAATGTCATTAGCAAAACAAAACTACCAAACAAAATGGAATTTGCAAAATGACCTGTACATTTCTACAAAGAATAACCCTTTTCCAAAATAAAAAATAAAAAATAAAAGAAAGTGGTGTAAATAAATATTTTTTGAAAGTTATTTTAATAATAAAACTTTCCTATGGTTGTGTCTATGTGGCTCAGTTTGATTGGTCTTGAATTGCTATATTCAAAGGCATTGTCACCGTCTTCATCTTCGATGTGTCACAGCTAGTTGGTCTCCATCGTTAAAACTCAAATTCAAGATCTAACTAGGCGCAAGAGGGCCTCCAGGGACCCCCTTTTTTTTCTAAACTTGTCTTCGAGCATTCAACACCAATGTTGTTCATGTGAGACTGGAGAAGTGACGGGAGATTCTAAATAGTTTCTTGGAGAAGTGGTAGGTTGATCGGAAGCACGGCTAGTTAGAGAGTGGTTAGCTTCCTAAAACTCTCGAGGCTTTAAGGAGGCTTGTGTGTTGAGCTTGTTGAGTCTTGCGTGGTCAAAAGGGATTTTTTAAGTCAATAGGCCCCAAATGTACACCCATTCAATTCGTAGACCCGTTATAAATAGAATTTCAATTTTCATTTTTTTTATTCCTGGGATAAGAGTGAATGACTAAAATATCCTTTAAATGGGGAGGGAAAAACGATGGGTCACCTTAAAGAGAGGCAAAATTATGCCCGATCAGATATTTCTTACTGGAAAGACCGGTTGGCAATTTTCTTACAGGGCACACCAGTAAGAACTTTCTGACCGGACTCAGGTTTCTTACCGCTCCCACCAGTCAGAATGGAAAGAAATGACATACGTGAGTTTCTTCGATTTTGCAGATTACTCAACTCCGAAGAGGCCATGAAATAGCATGATTCTTGTTGATTTTTCAAATAAAATACCAAACCACGATTACCCAGCATTCAAACAATGAAATAAGCATAACAATACAAGATTTGAGAGAATACCAGAGGTAGGGGCATTCTCCGGCGGTAAAAGGCGGCGCCGCCGGTGAACTTTGGCCGGCAACGTTTCCTCGTGACTGCCCAACGAAGGAGGGGATTTAGCTCCTCCTTTTCAAACGTTTTTTCTTTTAATTTGAGAGAAAAGAAGAAGGGCATTTAAGAAATACATATTTTTTCATTTAATGAGAGGCCTACTCATTAAAACTTTCTATTTTGGAGCCTACTCATTAAACACATTACACATTTTAAGCCTATTTTTCAAAAAGACCCAGTTAAAAGGCCGTGTCGGGTGTAAATGCGAAAACGTTCAGAGGTGGAGGCCAGTGATTTTCAGCAAGGACAAAGATGACCAATGAGATGCATCTAGACTAATTTTTGAACAGTTTAAGCGTGTTTGTACGTGCGCTCTTCGACTAGCAAAACAATTTCGGGTAAATGTCGTACATAGGCTTCCGGGGAGGGTTACCGCCTCTAGATTGAACTTTTGTCCCAACCAAGAATGAGCAGACCACTTTATACTCACATAGCCGTTTATAATGCGAGATATCATGTTTTGTGCGGATCCTTGAAACTGTGCTCGAAGGTCAAGAGTTCAATATTAACAAAGTGTTGACATTTGCCTACACGAGAAAAATGCGTGAACAAGAGCAAAATTGTGGTTCAAGCGGGGAAAGAAACAAACCAAAACAATGTGGGGCAAAAAACTCTTCATCGTTCTTCTCAAAAGAAAAAAAAAATGTTGTTCTCCAGTCACAATAAGAAGTCAACTTGATATCCAGATACAACATGCGAAGGAATGCAAATCATACATCAAATGAAAGTTAGAACAATAAGAAATCAAAGACCCTCAAAAAAACGAACATGATCTTCGAAATTCTCCCCATGTCGGATTTTGGCCAGTGATCCGTCTTCTTCAACCTATGAGCAAGCGTCATACAAATTTCAAGAAGTTAGTACATCCGAACTGCAACTATAAACAAATATTGCTAATGTAGAAAGGTTGTATGACATTTTTACTACTCCAATTATAATGATTTTTTTTCTAAATCGGGGAGCCAAAATTTCAAAGGTAAACATTTTCCTATAACGTGAAAAACAATGCACTGACAAAGTGTACGAATTTGTGAGAGTACCCAGTTCCTATAAATCACCAAACTACCTCTAAAATTTATAGTTGGAAGACCTATCACAAGTCGAAAATTTCTCAATTTTAAACAATGCTGTGCCCATGCGACGTAATTAAACATTATTTTGCAGTAAGATTCTTATACCCAGTATTCTGGAGGACGCATCTTGAGGTTATAAGTTGAAGCCATGCTCATGCAGTAAGCACCCGCATCATGAACAACCAAACCAGCCCCCTGAAAAGTGAAATAGAACTCAGAAGCCAAAAATGAAAGAAACCCGAGGATAATAAAAGATTCAAAACTTCAGATTTCGGAAGACTGATCATCATCTTTTCTTCTTAACAGCACAAAGTCGAGCAAATTGTTTTCAATGAGTCAAAGGTTGTAGCCAAGTATAGTTGGATAAGACCAACGGCTTAGTTACCTTGGCCGGAGATGCAAGTTGTCTTTCCTTCCCCAAGAAATCAGCAGACTCGCAGACAGGGCCGACGACGTCAAAAGTTGAGATATCAGCATCAGGCAGTGGCGGAGCAACCAGCTCGATGTGCTGTGACCAAATGCCACAAGGGAATAGGAGGAGAGTAAAACAAGTTTGAAAGAATGACGTTTTTGCCACATGTCAATTATATGGTCACTGGCTCTTATAAAAAGTGACGCAAGAAGCTAAGAAATGAGTTTGGAACCTTACCTGATAAGCATCATAAAGGCTAGGACGGATTAGTTCAGCCATGCTGCCGTCGATGACAATAAAGTTTTTGGTTCCATTGGTTTTAACACCTGTAACCCGATTAACCAAGCAGCAAGTATTTGCAATAAGTGATCTCCCAGGTTCAATGATGAGATTAAGATCTCTTGAAAGAACCAGTTCCCGAACCTAAACCAACATCAATGTTAAAATGTCGAAAGGGACTTTATAAAGGTCAAACCTCAGAAGAAATAATTGGTTCTCTTCATTATATATATATATATGTATATATATATGCCATCATTCAGCGAACTGCAAGAGAAAAAGTTTTCATAGTCTTTCAACTGTTCAAAATTACCAAATCATCCATAAATGTGTAAATTATGTACTCCAGATTCAGGGGAAGAATACGTCAGAAAGAATCCTTACTGTATTAATGAGATCTCTGGGTGTCGGAAGGACAGCACCAGAATGATAATAATCTATCCCAAGTCCACCTCCAATATTCAAGTAATTAACTTCAAAACCTTGAGCCCGAATTTCGTCAATATAGTTAACCATAAGAACTGCAGCATCTCTGAATATGTCCACCTAAGAATATTAAATGAATGATCAATGTAAAAATAAAGAATTTGTATGTTATTTCTTACAAAATCTAGGATACAAAAGAGGTAAATATCTCTAGAAGAACCAGGCTAAATTAGTATTGGGAACCTAGTCACTGTATCTTTTTTTTTTATTGGGAATTGCAAATTGTTGATACTCATGAGCATTGAGCTTGTAAACTGTCTCATTTATCAGCAGAAATCTCCAGAGTTGCTAATTTACCTTAGTAATGGTGGATCCAAGATGACAATGGGCCCCAACAAGTTTCAGCTCTTCAGGGTGTGCCTTCACAGCGTCAAGAAACCATTGCAGCTTCTCATTTCTAATACCAAATTTGGAGTTCTTATTCCCAGTGGCGACGTAAGGATGAACCTGAGAAAAGAATTCACAGATAATCACTGGTACCGATGTAGAGATGGTTCGACATTAGTGCCAACTCTAGTGGCTGTCCTATGCAATGAGGAATAGGAGTTGCACTTAAAAGCATACGCTGTAATGGTTTACGGTTACAACATTATCGTAGTCGTGGACCAGTGGCGCAGGAAAAGTGGCAGTTGCAACTTGCAACAAGGCTACGCATATATTGGGACTCTAGTAAAGATGCTAATGATGTAAATTATGCTTCTTTAAACATGAAACTGAAAAGCAATGGTCTCACCGAGGAAAACTGTAAAAGATAAAAGGAGGGAGAGAGGTTGGAAAGAAGCAAACAACGGTATTCAATTTTCAACAGTTCAGTACAGTCAAGCTAATCTATACTTTCAGTTGTGAACAGTTTATCTCTTTAGAAACTATAACCGAAATTTAGAAATGGTCAGTGGTTACACTAGAGACAATATTTAAAGTTCATTTTGGTCTACATATAATAATGTACAAATCAAAGCCATCACAACTGAAGATCTATCAAGAAACTGCCTTTCATGGAGTAACAGCTCAAGCATCATAACCTAGCCGATAAATAAACCTACTCCACCACAAACAAGGGATCAAGGATATAATATGATGGGGCATGCATACCTGAGGGTCCACATCCGGGTTGATCCGGAGTAGGACATTAACCTTCTTCCCAGCAATTCTTGCAGCAGCTACAATATTTTCAAGGTCGAATTCACTATCAACATTGACAAAAACACCTTCTTGCGCAGCCAGAACCAAATCCTCCAACAACTTGCCATTCCCATTAAAGATACATCTGCCAAACCCATTAAACCAAAGCAAAACATCAAATCAAGCTTAAAAAAAGAACATGGTTAATTTGCACACCAAAGCAAAGTCAATTCACAGGCCAAGATTCGAGGCCCGCATTAATGCCAAAAACTGATTGGAAAAGTAGAAAAAAGTTACTTCACTCAAGAGATGGTCCTTTTGGCATTACTTATGCTTATGCTTTAGTAAAAGTTATGGCTTTCCATTTTTTTTTTTAATTTTTTTTTATTATCAGAAAAACACCTTTATTGATAAGGAATCAATTACAGGAGAAAGACGATAAGGTATCCTCATTGAAGCAAAAACAGCAACAGAAAAAAAAAAACACTATGGCTTTCCAGTTAGTATTCCGAACCATAATTTCAAAACTTCTTAATGCAATAAAAATGATATTTAAATTTTATAATAAGCAATAAAAAAAAACCTATAAATAAAGTTCATACTTACAAGCTTCCAAAGTTTCTTAGAAAAAAAGTCACTTATTAAGAAGTCACATTTTGCATAACTGAAAACTCTTCTAAACAACTATCAAATACTTTGAAAAGCAGCTTTTTAACTAAGAAAGCAGCTTTAGAAACCATGAAACCCAAAAATAACGACAAGAAACACATCTAATCTCCGCTAGGCAAAAACACAAACACGTGGTTTGCGCAACATAATTTACCTGGTGGGATCAAACCCAGCAAGAAGAGCCAACCTCAGCTCATTCCCACTAACAAGAACAGCCCCACAACCAAGCTTCCTCAAATGCTCCAAAATCTTCAGATTATTATTCGCCTTAATGGCGTACCCAATAATGGAGCTCAAACCTTCCAAAGCCTCCTTATAGGCCTCAACATTTCTGGTAATCTGAGGCTTGCTGTAGAGATAGAAAGGCCGTCTCTCGACGGAATCCAAGACGTCCTGGACCTTGATGCCTTCGCAGAAGAGAAACCCATCCGGGGATTTGGTGAAGCAGTGCTTGAACGGCGTCGTTTGGGAAGTTTTGGCGGGGTTTTGAGAGAGGACGGCTCTGAGAGTTTGGTGGGGTTTAAGGGAAGGTTTTAGAGAGAGAAATGGGAGGTGGGAAAATGGGGTTTGGTTGAGAGGGCGAGCTAGGGTTTTGGGGAGGAATTGGTAGTGAGAGAGGTGGGATTGTGTAGCCGCCATTGATGAACAAGACTACAAGAGAGTGAGCTTAGAAGAACTGCAAAGGCAAGATTATAAGTAGATCATAGGGTACAAGTATTGTTGACTAAGGCGTTTAGTTGGCTTTTTTAATTCGAATTGAGACGAGAATTTTTTATTTTAATAAAAAAATTAAATATGATTAATTTTTATTATAATAAAATTTAAATTTATAAACGGGCCCAAAAGTTTAAAAAACCAGACAATATAAACGTGGTAGAGGAAAAATAATTAATTAATTAACACAAAAATGCTAATGATAATGCCGTTTGGCCAAGAATAGACTGATGTGTTCTTCTCTCTCTCTATTTTTTTTTCTTTAAGTGGAAATTGCATTCTAAATCAAGTTAGTATAAACATTAATTCAAATACAAATCATAACGTATTTAGCGACTCAACCTCGATATTAAAACAAAACCACCAATAAAATTGATTGAAGCGCTCAAGAAGGTAATATGTGTATTGAGTTTCAATAAGAAGAAAGCAAAGAGGCACATAACTAATTGAGCACGAAAATGACTCTTTGCAATATAATACTATAGTAGGTAAATAATCCGATCTATCAAAATTAAGAGACTAAAAGTACTAAGGCCGAACACAACACCACAAAGTGTAAAAACTTGCAGACTAAACGAGACGACTATGCTAGAAAGTGGAGAGACCACCTCTGTTATTACAATAAAGAACCAAAACACAACAGGAACAAACTAACACTACATGGCGGAAACATCAACGCCTTTACTTGACAAACACAAAACTTAGAATAAAATGGTAAAGCCCAAACGACATGACAGGACCTCCGATAACAAATCGACCAACATTGAGGATGCGCAAAGGAGCCACAACACAACAAGCGAGTCGACGAAACATCAGAAAATAGTCAAGTCTCCAACTCATGAGATCTGCAATGTCGCTCACCACCACCGATGAAGGAGTGCGCCTTGCCCACGCTGGAGCACCAACACTCCCCTAATTTGCGATAAGAAAAACAAGGCGACCATCGTCTTCTCCGCCATATCCAACTACCAAACCGGATTGAAGCTCCTTCAAACGGAAAGCCATGTTGAGAGGGCCAAACCACGAAGGGTTCAGAGGCACCGGTGCAAGGACGTCCCCTAAAAAAAGAAAAAACTGACGCAAATCATTTGTCCCTTTTTCATATTCCTCTCTTAGTCCTCTAATCATTTCTGAACACCTCATTAAATAAGCCAACTCATTCTTAACAAATTTCTCTATCTATTTCTGAACACCTCATTAAATAAGCGAACTCATTCTTAATGAATTTCTCATATTTGGCTCCAAACACCGCTAAATAAAAAAGATAAAAATATTTGCTTTGATCCCTTCACGCTCAATTATTGGTTAAAGCACAATAATTTTATTCAAATTAAGTAATCTATATTCTCAGCAAAAAAAAAAAAAAAAAGAAAAAGGAAAAATAATTATTATTTGAAATAGCTCCTAAAACTTGTTTTAGCTTTTGAACCCACTCTTAATCTGTGTAATTATCATTTTCTAATAATTAATCTATCTGAATCTCATGTGAGATGAGACGACAGTTGTGTTGGTCACAATTATCCTTATTACACAGTTGTTTCATTCTCTTAAATTTTGCGTGTCACAATGTTATTTTCTTAATGGGCAGTATTCATGTTTTCCATTATAAATATACAAACGCGAAGTGCTCTTTCAATTATTTAAGAAGCAAAATAAGGCCAGAGACGCATAAACACAACTAAGATCATTAGTGGAGCACCACTCCTACAAAAAATTGACTTTAACTTGTCATGTTAAACGAGAAGAAATAAATAAACAAATTGACTAATTAAAACCAACTAAATTGACTCTCTCTTGTCCAAAATCCAACAACTAATTAAAACCCAACACCAATACATGAGTCACTTTTTCCACAACTTAAAAATAAATAATCACTTCAATCAAACCCACCATGACAAAGTGCAGGTCAAAATGAACCTATGAAAATTCGTTTCTTTAATAGGTCTATTTCACTGGGATAATATTTCTAAACTTTATAACAGGTTAAAAACACTGCTCTAAAAGAAAAGTTACGTGAAATTGATAGAATGTTTTAAAGATCTTGGTATTTTTTTTTTTTTCACATTCTATTGTCTTTTAATAAATAATTGAAATTTTTATGGATCGCCATAATTTTGACAATGATTAGTGAAAATTAAAGACTTTATACAATCTCATAATTACATCCAACTTATCTTAAAATTACAATACAATCAATCTTTTTCTAATCATGTTATGGATGCAACTTATCACGTGTTAGATGATACACAAATCAATCCTCAAGATTTGAAATGTATTTTGAGACACAGCAACAATTTTTATTGGGAGAGATTGAAGTAAATAACAGATTTATAGTAAATAATTGAAGTAAATAGTAGATTTAAAAACTGTTTGAAATAAATAGCAGTTTAATGCGTAAATGTTTTTTTTACGACTTGTAAAAAGATTTTTTTTCAACGTAAATTTTCTTTTTACGATTGATAAAAAGATTTATTTTCACAAAAATAAAATTACCAACTTATAAGGCTTCCAAATACATTTTTGACAACTATATAAAGTTGTACTGCTGTAGCGTGAAGAGGTGGTGGCAAGTATAAGGAAGTTGGTTACTACTTGGTTTAGATATTTCCAAAGAAAGCAGGTAAACCGTTGGATAAGTTGGTCAGCTTTGATGAGAAAAAAATAGTAATAATTAATAATAAAGAATAATAGTTTGTAGGGAGTGGCTTGCATATCTCATTAATCACAACAAACTAAATTGTAATAATTAATAATAAAGAATAATAGTTTGTAGGGAGTGGCTTGCATATCGCATTAATCACAACAACCTGCTCTTTTTCCTGCCAATACAAACTTGTAAACTGATTCCTCTTAACCTGATGAAGACCTTGTCAAAATGACATAAGCAAACAAAATCATCTCTGATTTTGTCTACCTTTCCTTTTTTTAACTCTTTTTTTTTTCGTTTCACTAAAATTAGACATGTCATCTTCGTTGTCCCAAGGCAGGCCAACAGAGTTGAGAGATTAACACGGAAAATATATATTTCCTGCCTCTTTCTCTCTTCACCTTTCCTACATTCTTGTCAAAAGGTATTGTTCTTCTTTCCTTGATATTTTCCCATTTTTATTCTGAATCTTCAATTCTTGACATGTTTTAGCATCTGGGTTGTGTCGACTTTGTTGTGTTATGTAGTACATTTCTTTGTTCGTGGTTTGGTTTTTCAGACTTTTTTTTTTTTTGGTTTGTTGTATGGTTTTAGGTGTACAAGGCGTATCATATCCCCATAGAGGGGCTTTTGGTTTGGAAAGAACAAACTTTTGAGGAGATTAATAATGTGTGACACAATGTCTGGACCTCTTGATCGACACACCAAAACAGGTATAAACGTCTTTCAAGAATTGCATGTTTTGTTTGCGTTTATCATTCCTAAATGTTGAACTTTGGTTGAAAATAGTTTTTGATTGTGTAATGTGAATTTTCGCGAAATTGATTTTTTTGAGGATAGGAGTTGGATTTTCTCTTTTATAGGATCATGCATAAAAAGCTCAGTAGCATAAAAGAACTGAAATCTTTAAAGTGCAAGCTTTTCTTTTGGCCATATAATTAGATATTATGTAGCAAGTACATGTATTTCTTTGGTATACCAAATAGACATGCCTTTGTTGATTTCTTTTTCTAGTTGGTATAATTACCTGAGACAAAATAATCTTGAAAGTGTGGAACATTTGATTTTGATCTACTTTTTTTTTTCCTTTGTTTGCCATGATCATATTTCTTTAGAATTCCTCGTATTCTTGTTTCTTGAAGGGAATGTATAGATCTCATTTGTAGTTTTGCTCTGTATATTGTTTATGGAAAGCATTTTTGGTATTTTGTCAAAATTGTGTTGGCAAGGAAAGTTATTTTGATTGATATGTGTAGGTGTTGAAGAACACTCAGAGGATGAGAAGAAAACGAGGCTTGGATCGCTCAAGAAGAAGGCGATCAATGCCTCCACCAAGTTTAGGAATTCATTGACAAAGAGAGGACGGAGGAACAGCCGTGTTATGTCCGTCAGTTTTGAGGATGAAATTGATGCCGAGGAGTTGCAAGCTGTGGATGCGTTTCGCCAGGAGCTTATCCTGGAAGAGCTACTGCCCTCTAAACATGATGATCATCATATGATGCTAAGGTCAAATATAATATTTCTCATGATTCATATGGAATCTTCAATCCAAAGAAATTAATGATTGACTGATGAAGATAATATGATGCTATGGTCATATTTTTTTCTCATACTTCATGTGGGATCTTTAATAAATCTGAAATGATTGGCTGATGATTATCATATGATATTAAAGATATAGTTTTTCTCATACTTCACATGGGAATTTTCAATAAATGTGAAATGATCGACTGATGGTCATCACATGATGCTAAGACCAAACCATTCTCACACTTCATATGGTATATTCATTTGAAATGTAGTGACTTTCTGATGATCAATGATGCTAAGGTGTTACATATATATATATATATATATATATGTATATATACACGCACATATATACATATATATGTGTTATATGGGGAATTTCAATAACAATGAAATGATTGGCTATCCATGTAATTACTATGAACGACGTGATTCTTGATTATGCAGATTCTTAAGGGCCAGGAAATTTGACATTGAGAAGACAAAACAAATGTGGGCTGATATGCTGCAGTGGAGGAAGGAATTTGGTGCTGACACTATCATGGAGGTAATGCTGTAGTTCTTAAATCGAAACCCGCCATTTTATTGCCAGGTTCCTTATCTTGATGTTGTATATGTGTCTGACTTTTTTCCTTCTGCTTATTTTGTCAAAGGACTTCGAATTCAAGGAAATAGATGAAGTCCTAAAATACTATCCACAAGGACACCATGGAGTTGACAAGGATGGCCGACCAGTGTACATCGAAAGACTTGGTCAAGTCGATCCTAACAAGCTCATGCAAGTCACAACAATGGACTGCTATGTCAAGTACCATGTTCGGGAATTCGAGCGAACCTTCGTTGTCAAGTTCCCTGCCTGTTCTATAGCAGCAAAGAAGCACATTGATCAGAGCACTACTATTTTGGATGTGCAAGGAGTGGTATGTTGGGATCTTTACATTTCAAAAGAAGATTGTATTTTTAAAGTTAAAAATAGTTTTAGTTGCTTACTAAAGGGTTACTCTTACGCTTATAAAGGGGCTTAAGAATTTCAACAAAGCTGCAAGGGATCTGATCCAGCGCCTCCAGAAGATTGATGGCGACAATTATCCTGAGGTACTCTTTTTTATTCTCTAAACTCAGATTTAAATCCACATTTTATTTTTTTCTTGGTTTTCTTTTTCTTTTTCATATTTCTTATGAATGATCTCTTGTTTACAACAGACCTTGAACCGCATGTTCATCATCAATGCTGGTTCTGGATTTAGGCTCTTATGGAACACAGTTAAATCATTCCTTGACCCGAAGACCACTTCAAAAATCCATGTAAGCATTTTCTATCTATTGACCTTGAACTAATGGAGTTTTTTTTTTTTTTTTTGTTTTTTGGTTATAATGGATATGGTTATTTTAATGGTGCTAAATAAACTGTTGCAATTATGAACCAGGTTCTTGGTAACAAATACCAGAGTAAGTTGCTTGAGATTATTGATGCTAGGTAAGTTCTCCACTTGGCTTTCTCAAAGTCCTTTAGATTACTTTTAAGTTCTCTCCTAATGAAGTTTGTGATGTAGATGAATTTAAGTTTACTAAAATATTGTCACAAAATGTTGCTTTGTTGTTCCACAATTATACCAGTGAACTGCCAGAGTTTTTGGGTGGTACTTGCACTTGTGCAGACAAGGGCGGATGCATGCGCTCCGATAAGGGTCCGTGGAACGATCCAGAAATACTCAAGGTGACTTGATACTAATCCTATTATTGTTAATTTTGATATTTCATCAGTTTTACTGGACAATATGAATCATGCATGTATCATTTCGTTGATCTAGATGGTTCAAAATGGTGAGGGCAAATGCTCAGGGAGAACATTATCAGGCATTGAGGAGAAGACAATCTCTGAGGATGACAAGGCATGCCCAAAGGCACTTACTTCATGGCATAATTTTTCCTTTTCTTTTTTCGCTTTTGATTGGGGATCTCTCTTTCAACTTTCATTTGTCCACTAACTTTTATACTCGTCATTTTCAACTTTTGTTTGGGAAAACATGAAGAGATGCAATTCTTTCAACTCAGAAACAAGTACAGATGCTTCAGATGTGCAATGTCTCTCTTCAAGATTTCCAAGGGAATATCTGGATAATCCAAAACTCTCTCCTGTTCCTGAAGTGTGTTCCTCACTTTCTTGTCAAGTCATGGAATATGTCACTAATTTATAAGACCTGTAACATCTTAAATTTTGGCAACACATAATGAAACTTTATTCTGTTCATGAAAAAAATATATATATATTCTTTCATTCTTCTGACCACCATTTCCAAACATAGAGATCACGCTTCTTCTCTTCTTTGTTGTGTTCACTTATCAACACTCGTTGCAGGCCTCTCCAGTGACCAAGATTTACAAGTACGACAACTTTGTACCCATGGTTGATAAGGTTGTGGATGCATCTTGGCAAAAAGCAGCACTACAAAACGAAAAATACAACCTCACTAAAGGTACAATGACCTTTCACCAATGCAATTTCTCTCTTCGGAACTTTCATTAAAGTACCTTCTTTCTCTTCTGAATCCCCAGATGTTTTCTCCATTAACCACGCCTTCAAGACTCCTGAAGGTGTAAGCAACCAGTTGTTTTCCGGGATTGTGACCTTTGTGATGGGAATCGTTGCCATGATCCGCTTGACACGGAACATGCCGAGGAAAATAACTGAAGCAGCAGTCTATGGCAGCCCCATCTACTACAATGACATGATGATCAAAAGCCACCACCAGTTGCCTGCACCTGCTATGATCTCCCATGCTGACTACATGACCATGATGAAGCGCATGGCTGAACTCGAAGAGAAAGTCACTATTCTGAGCATGAAACCAACAGTCATGCCAGCTGAGACAGAGGGAATGCTAAACGCCGCTATCGGAAGGGTCAGCGCCCTAGAACAAGAGCTATCATCAACCAAGAAGGTAATGACTAATTCTGACTTACTGACTTCAAAGCGTAAATTAGAATCTAAAGAGAAAAATAACGCATTTTTTGTACTACACGGTTAAAAAATCATGTAATGTTAAAAGGGGGGTCATGAAGATTGTAAAGAAGTCTGTTTTCGTAGCATTGTTAGGTAGACAAAGGAAAATATACTAATGTGTTTGTTCTTTTTTTCTTCTTTGTGTAGGCACTTGAAGATGCTCTTTTTAGACAAGAGGAGCTTGTGGCCTACCTTGAGAAGAAAAAGAAGAAGAAGACGAAGGTATGTTGCTACATATGTCGAAGTTTACTTTTGCCAGTTTTAATTTTGTCTATATCGAACTTACAATAATGCGCTTTTCACCTTGCAGTTTTTTGGAATTCTGTGATTGCGGAAACCATTCTGTTGGTGAGTGATAGGCGTTGGAAGCTATCAAATGAAATTGCAAAAGAATACTAGTGCTCCAATTTTCATTGAAGTTGGTGGCGATGTTGAATTTCAGCCCCACTAATGGCTTTTTTTCTTTTTTAAATGCTTCAGTCTCTATTTGCCTTTGTTTAATTAATACTCGAGTTAAAAACTTCTGTACATTATTACTATTGTTATACAGTGTGCCCTTCCTTCACAAGTGTGTATATTTTGAGTTATATTTAGCATCATTTTAGTTTAGCAAGGATTCTAGGGGGCCTAATCCAATGCAACAATGTGACATTCCTCTCTTTTGGCACTTTATGAATGTCAAAAAATTATTCAGGACTACAATTTAAATTGGAAACTATATCTGAATGCTGCTACACATGTAGAAAGAGAAGCAAAAACCAAGAGAGAAAATGTCGATAATATATTTTATATATATTCTTAGTAGATATGAAAAGCTCTTGGTTATGATGTGTCCTCGTGTTCACTCTTTCAAAACATCACAGGGCAAGGAAATATACAAAACAAACTGCACAATTGTTCGAGTTTGAGAAAGGACCCGATACACATTTTGTCACAAGAAAGGTCAGGAATCCTCTCATTGGCTTAGTTCACATCATTTAGGATGATGGTGACATAATGTAAGATCAAGGCCGGGTTTGTCACACTCACTAAAATGACATTAAGAAACAGCACAAATGAACCTTTTTGTGGTCTCCCCTCCATCCGTAAACCACTTCACCAGCAAGTCTTCTTTTTCTGATGGCAAAAGAGAGCAGGCATAATCTCAGCCATAAATTTTCATTTATAGACCATAAATGGAGAACTACACACAAAGAGAGAGAGTATCTTCTACTTACCCGGAGCCTAGCTTCTTCTTGTCTGTCTATGTACGCAAGCAGTTCTTCTTGCCTCATTAAAGCTTCATAAAGAGCCTGCACCGGGAGCACATTCAAACACAGTGAGACAACCAAAAAAAAAATCCCATCACAGCCAAGAGAATGCAGAGAAATAAACTTGCAAAAGATAAGACTTGTAACAAAATTATGCCGGGACTCAAAGCAGACAACATCACATTGTATTAAAAAAAGATGCATAAACCAGTGATTTCTGTCATAGTTACACAAAGGGAAGAGGCTTACGATGAAAAGTTTACTGCCAAACAACATGATACGCATGAAACATTTCCTAATTTTCTAGGTCCTCTCACCACATTGTATTAAAAAAAGATGCATAAACCAGTGATTTCTGTCATAGTTACGCAAAGGGAAGAGGCTTATGATGAAAAGTTTACTGCCAAACAACATGATACGCATGAAACATTTCCTAATTTTCTAGGTCCTCTCACCAAATAAATAAATAAAGGGCATCAGACCTTTTTGGTAGCAATTAGCTCTGCTTCTAAAGCATCAACACGACAAACAGCGGCATTAAGCAATTCCTCTTTCTCAAAAGGCATTCGAGATGGCTTTGATTGAAGTGCATCAACCTTCTCCTCAAGCTCCCCTAGCCTTTTCACTACAGCGGAGAGTACATCTGCTTCTGTAAATGCTGGAGTTGGTGAAGGGGGACGATAGTCTTCCTTGTTTGCATCAACAGTAGACTCAGCAGTATTTTGATCACAGTTAGGCAATGTGTCAGGAAACTTTCTAATTACACGACATATCACTGAACGTAAGAAGGTGATTAAAGTCAGGAAGAATGCTGTAAGCAGAATTAAAACTTGTGCACGTAATCCTTCTGGAGCTTTTGGAGTATTGGGCAGGGGAAGTGTTCCTGAAATTCGAAAATCAATTTAATTGGAGTTTGCATCCATAAGGCATGTATAAGAAAAGATGCACGTTAGAAGCACTACAGTCGAATCAAATACCGCATTAGAAAAGATTCACTTCCACACATGATTATATGTTCAATAAAACCAATATTATTGGCTAAAGAAGTTGAATGGGATTATGCTGACCCAGATTCGATCCACATCTTACAATTAATTACATGAAAAAGAAAAAGGTTAAATACAAGAAGTTGTGAAACTACAGAGACGTTCTCCAGTTTATAGAAGTCCACCTAGTCTAGGAAGTAGGAACTACTCTAAATTGCTGAAAATCTATTTATCTCCAAATACAGCATCATTAATAACTGCTTAAGTCTCCACAAACCACCCGTTGCACAGTAAATTAGCACAATCAGTAATGACCGAGTCCTTTTTGTAATAATCTTTTAAGACATGAAATCTACTATAACTAGCGTGTGGTATATATATAATCTAGTATGTTTTAATAGTAAGACATGTGAGTAATGGGGGTATGCAAAGTTGTGAAAGACTTATAAAATTATAGGTAATGTATTATAGATGTTTCCCAGTCTAATGTTGAGTAGGTAGAGTCAAAATTCTCATAGCAAAGTGTCATATTTAGGTAATTAGACTAGTGTAACTTATTTTTAGAATTAATCCTAGGTTTTCATTGTAAAAGACAAAATGTAAATTATAAACGCCATGAGTATTAATCTGTAGACAAAAGCAAACTTAAAACAAAAGAAATTCAACATATGGCTTAAAGAAATATGAATAAAAATAAATAATAAAAAAAACCTTGTGGCAGTCAAACTCGTAATCTATGACAGACCATTTAACTGTCATCAAGAAGGGCCTATAGACAAATTCATATAGTAAATAAATAATATAGATAAATAAATAAAATAAAAGAGATGAGGAAAATGAAAAATTAAATTCATAAGGGCAACCTTTGGAAGACTGTGATCGTTGAAGGGACACATGCTTCTTCCATTCTGCATCAACGGCTTTGTCAACCATGGGTACATATTCATCATAACCAGCAAAGTGGACAGCATAGCTTGACTTTCCAACTACCTTAGCCTGCATATTCGCGAAAGAACATTAAAAATAATGAAGAATCACCAGAACAGTAGTCTAAGAAGAAACATCTTCCCAGATGGCCTTTATAAAAGTACATTCTTTAAGTTTCTCAGCGTATGTTTAAAACATCATATCATGATAAGCATAAAACAAGAATATCAAATTTGCAACCAAGAAACAGAAACACAAAAATTCCTGAAACAAGGCAGAAGACACTCATATAAACCATGACTATTTTCAACCCACACTGAACAAATTTTCTAAAAATGCTTTTAAGAAGTTTCGAGATATGCTGATACCAAAAAAGGACCAAAGGAATAGGGAAAACGGCACAGTTTTCAGTGATGTAAATCAACATCTGAATGGTAATTGGTAATAAATAATAATCACAAAATAAAAACTGAACTTACTTCTTCACGAACAGGAGTCAACCGGAGATGTGAATAACTCTTTGTCGCTTTAGGGGAAGCAATATCTTCAGCTTCAGAGCCTGACTCAGCGGTAGATGTATCACTACCTTTTACCTGCTTGAATGCATAGAAAAATAACAGATGTAACCACCAATAAAAAAACTGAAATGACTAGAAATTTGCTCCATTTTAAAACAAGCTGATGATAATTTACAAAGTTTTTACCATTGGGTAATGTGGTTTAGCATAGGCAATAACCTTCCCCTCGCTGTTCAAAACTTTGAAAATCTGCCGGGCACGCCGTGCTTCACCATTAAGAACCATCTGTACCAAAGTGCATATGCAAGTATCGGTTTTAACAAACAAAAAGAGCAACTGGTCTAACAAGTTCGTCATAAAATTATAACACAAAAAAAAATATTTAATCCGGTGTAACCTTCAATATTTCTGGGTTCTTCCATGGACCCTTATCAGATCGAAGGCAGCCTCCCTGATCTGCACAGGTACAGTTACCACCTAGAAATACTGGCAACTCACTGCAAAATTTACAGAATTTTAATACCATTTAACACAACTATTCGACGAAACATATGAAAGAAAATGTTAAATTCCGCAGCAATTGAACTAAAAATAAAATAATAGAACAACTATATGTATAATTGGATCCTATTACCTGGCATCAATAATTTCAAGCAATTTGTTCTGGTATTTGTTCCCAAGAACCTAAAAAGTTCCCCAAAAAAAAGCCTTAATACAAGATGCAAGTGAACAGAGCAAGATTAAATGACTTTTCCAAGACAAACAAAAACAAATAAATAAATAAATAATAAATTTTGCATACATGAATTTTGGAGGTCGTTTTGGGATCCAGAAAAGTCTTTACAGTGTTCCAGAGCAGCCTAAATCCAGGACCAGCATTGATGATAAACATTTGGCACAGAGTCTGTATCAACAAAAGGACAAACTTCATACTCATACAGAAACACATAATATCCAGTGCCCATAATTAACATAGTCTAGATACTACAAAAACTAACACAATAGAGATAACATACCTCAGGGTAATTGTCACCATCAATCTTCTGCAAACGCATAATCAGTTCCCTTGCAGACTTTGTAAAATTCTTTAAGCCCTAATAACAAAATGTTGGGAAGAATGAGTAAACAGAAATTTGTACTCTAATCGTAGAAAATATGCTTAACTTATACTAGGAAAGATTAGTATGGGCAACATACCACGCCTTGAACATCTAATATTGTAGTGCTTGAATCTATGTGTCTCTTTGCAGCAATTGTGCAAGCTGGAAACTTTATCGCAAAGCTTTTCTCAAATTCTTGAACATGGTATTTTACATATCGGTCCATAGTTGTAACTTGCATTAGTTTATTGGGATCCACTTTTCCCAATCTTTCAATATAGATGGGTCTTCCCTCCTTATCCACACCATGATGCCCATGAGGGTAATACTTAAGAACTTCATTCAACTCTTTGAACTCAAAATCCTGAGAGAAACATAGCAATGACTGAGCCAATGACACAACACATAATCAAAGCGGGGCAAATTCAGAAAATCTTTCCAGCTGCATTACCTCCATAATAGTGTCAGCACTAAAGTCCTTCCTCCATTGAAGCATATCAGACCACATATGCTTTGCTTTCTCAATATCAAACTTCCTTGCCTTTAAGAACCTGTATGTTATATAATCCTTAAGGACATTACATTATAAACTATAGCAAACTAAAATTTTTTGTATTACTTTTTTGAACTCAATAAACATACAGGAATAATTTGTTCGCACAAATATGTTGTCAAAAAAGAAGCAATAATGAGAACCTCAACATCATATGATAGTCATCATGTCTTTCAGGCAGTAATTCATCCAACATTAGTGCTTGTCGAAATGCATCAACGGCCTGTAGCTCTTCGGCATCTCGAACATCCTCAATGGAGACAGAGCTTACTCGCCCATCACTTTTTCGTCTACTGCTCTTTTTCTTGAGAGAATGCTTAAACTTAGTAGATGCATTTATCGCTTTCTTTTTCAGAGATCCAATTCTAGTTCTCCTCTCATCCTCAGAGTTTTCAAAGTCAGACTTCCTTTCTCTTCTCTCATCACTACCAGAGAACCCTTCAAAGCCTGTCACAAAACAACATTGCCAATAGTTACAAATACTTACAGATAATACATAAATCCTAGAACGATATATCAATATAGGCATCAAACTTGTCAAGAATTGAGCTTCCAGACAAACTACGTGTTTAAATAATGCAGTTGCAAGTCTCAAACTTCAAAGATCATATAGTGCCTTGTTGTCAGCTTGAATGCCACATCAAAATGAATGAAACCATGGGAGGTAAATTTCTTTGTCCTAAACAAACAGTTGGCTTTGCTTCTATAAGAGCCGGATGAAGCTAGTATCTTATATGGAGTCATTCGTGAATAGATAATTATTAATGCAATGCATAATGGGAACTTAATATAGTGGCATTTCACAGAGACATGCAAATTATCTCAGAAAATGAAAATAAGAAACAAAACAAAAAAAAAAAAACTATGCGGCTAAAAGAAGAATGCTGAAAAAAAAAAAAGAATGGCGTAATCAAGTTATAGCTTAAGATTGTCGTATGCCTATTAGCAAATCAAGGAATCAACCTCATAGACTCGTACAACAGTGTATGATGCATAATAACCACAATAAGAAAACTGGATTTTAGTAACTGGGTTTTAGTATTTTGCCATCATACACTCCAACCCAAATAAAGTTTTTAAATAACACACAGATTTTGAGGAAAATTGTGTCAGAAGACTCAGAATATGTAATATCTGTTAAACATGAAAGATTCTTTATGTGTGCTCTATCGACAGAACAAAATCTAGAGCTCACAGAGGAACTTCTAGGGGCATTCTAGAGTTTGAATAGCTTCCAAAACGTCAATAAACACAATCATAGAACAATAGAGGCCATTAAAATTCCCTTAGTTGCTTCAGTAGGCAACTGGATTCAACTGATGATTATAATCGCATCTTCCAAAATGGATTTGTTTTATCATTAAATGACTAAAAATTATTTATTAAAGATGCATCAACAGTCAAACAGATTACCTTTGAATAACTAAAAATTATTTACAAAAGATGCAATAACTAAAAATAACATATTTTCAAAATCCAGGAAAATTACAATGACCTAAAACCAAAGAACAATAATTTACAAAGAAACGAACTCAAACTTTTCTTTTCTTTTTCTTGTTCTATTTCCTTTTCCTCAGCTCAGTTTTCTCGGCACCAAACAAAAACCCTAGAACCAGAAAAAATACCACAAACACAGCCACACGGAAACCTATCACACAAGCATTGCACCAAACACCAAAACAGAAAAAGAGCAAAGAACACTCACATGGCCTCGCAAACCGGTCCAAAGGGCCCGACATTCTCGTCCGAAGCGCAGAAACCGAGGCAACCTCTACTCCGATCAGGGAAATCGCCGAGCATCAAACAATGCACCTACATAAACCACCCACATTCCGATCAGAAACCCTAGAAACCGCAAAATCGAACCACGAAACTCCAAAAAAAAAATCCCGAAAAAAATCACAAAAAAAATCCGTCGTGGATCGTCGCGAATCACGAGGAAGATCGGCTCACATTAATGGCGACAAACGGATCCACAGAGCTCTTCTGTAACGGATCGACAGAAGAGCATTTAAGGTGAAAAGAAATAAATTAAAAAATAATTTAGGCCGATTTTGCGACGGCGATAGTGTAGAGAGAGAGAAGAGAGAGAGAGTAGAAAAGGGTTATAAGTTTGGGGGAGCTAGGAATGGGGAAGGTGTGGGACCCAGCGTATGGTTGATAGGACACGTGTCGAAAGTAGAGGGAGTGGGTGCACTGAACGAGGAATTTGCCGGCGGTAGGTTAATTAAACTGTAACGGTGGACTTAGCTAGTATGTATTTATGGGAATGGTGTGTACCCAATTTTTTTTTCAGCAAAAAAATATTGGGTAATCATTTGGTTCACTGCGGTAAGGAGTAACGCATTTTACGCCAACCCTCTCAATGTGCACGTGGTCAGTTAAGACAGATTGACAATTTTTTAAAAAAAAAAAAGAAAAAAAATTTAAGGGGAAGAATTTACTTTTTTCTATTATTATTGGATTTTTTAATTGATGAATATTATTTTTGGATTTGTTTTTGTTAGTTGAGTAATAAATTACTTCCGCGTTTGGTTAAAAGTAGAGTAAATGTGCCACCTTTTGTCCCTTTTCGTGTTTGGACATGCAAGGTTTTCTTCTTTTTTTTTTTTCTAATCTGGATATGCAAGTTTTAGAACGGTGGTAGAAACTATTCATAATACTTTTACTATATATATATATATTTAAAAAAGTTAGTATATTTACTTAAAATTATTAAGGTTAATCCCATTCTTAGTTCTGAACCATAAGACAAATCTCATTTTGATCACTGACTTTTAAAACGTCTTAAAATATTCTTTAATCTATCCATTTATCTAAAATTAATTAATACGTTTGGTTGTTAAAATCCTAATAGAAAAAGGCATATGAGAACCAAACGCGAATTAGTAAGGGTTAGTTTTTTTAAATTTACCTTAAAAAAGAAGTGTAGTTTTAGTTCGCGTTTTTTTATTTTTTTAAATAAACACACAAATCTCAAAGAACTTGTATTTAAACAAAAACAGAGTAACAAACATCACAAAATAAGGCTAATGACCTAGCATGGAATGGACGTACATCTGAGGCCTAAAAAATGTGAAAATACCACAGTACACTAAAATAGAGCACACCTAATGCTCTATTTGATAAAATCTCTCTTAGCAAGAAAAGCTTTTGAGCGATAAAAAGATAAAATACCGTAACCCTAAGACTGTACCAAACTCCACTAAGACACCAGTCTAACACACACAAAAAAACAAACCAAGACACTACCAAAAGATTATATAAAAGATTTGATTTAACATGTTCTGATTAATACATACAGTAAAAAGTGGCTGATTTAGAATTATCTAAAAATAATAATAAGAAAATTAGAAATGAGATTATAGGGATCAACTCTTTTTTCTCGAGTCAAATATCTTTTCATTTTCGAATAAATTAGAGATAAGAGATTAATTTGTCCTGTTTGGTGTCCTACTTTGGTTCCTATTAAATAAGTAACTTGTATCGTCCAACATATTTTACCGGATACGAGATGGATTTTGTTCTTATTATTCTCACCCAAAACATAATATAAAGAAAACAGTTTTATACATCAATTTCAATAATTAAACATAGCATAATAATAAGTGAAATCAAATACGATCTTGAACAATAATCTCTTTTAATCATGTCTGTTAAATACAGACAAATGCAAAATATATAGGATTTTCTTTGTTATATTTCGAAGGTTTTGACATTTTTAAGACAATTTTATTTTTAATCTATTTTAAGAGAAAATATGTTTGTTGCTGAGCTGCCACTTTTATGGAATCACACACTTGTAATCCCATGCACCAATAATCAAAAATACATTTGAATATTTCAGCTTGCTTCAAGTCTTAAATATACCTGCGTTTGCTTTCTTCCATTGACCTTTTTTAATTTATTAAGTTTGGTAAAATAATGTTTTTAATCATTTTCTTTATGACTACAATTTTTTTTAAGTGTTTTGCATTTTTTTTCTTCTTCTTTTAGGACCGTTGAGCGCTTAAATATATATATATATATATATATATATAAATCACCGTTCGGTAGTCATTTAATAAGCAAGAAGCAACAAATTTTTCCTAAAAACAAAAGCAACAATTTTTTGTATGTTCATAAATACTATAAACTACTCAATTTTATAAAACTATAATTTTGTTCCAAAGGATAATATAGTATATTAATAATTTTCGTTATAATAATACATGATTGCGGACTTTAAAAAAAAATTAAGTAAATCTACATTCTTATCTTTAATGTTGAAGTTTAGAGGTTAAATTCACTGTTTTAATTTTAATAAAAACAAAAAATCGCAAACAATGTTTTTTTTTTTTTTCAATTGTTATTATATATTTTTTTCTTTGGATAATACGCAAAACAACACGATATATAATTTCGACTCTTACGAGATTACGTCAAATCTGATAAAAGAGAAACTTAATTATGGGCGGAATGAACGGACCAAAAGTGTTTTGGGGGAGGGAATAGAGAGACCCACTAAACATTATGGCCTTTTGCTTTTGGAACTCCATATTTGACCTTTTCTTTTTTCTTTTTTCTTTTTTCCATTAAATAGATGTGTTAAAAATATAGTTTATATAACGAGCTTTATAAAAGTATAGTTATTTGCTTTCAAAATAAAAATAATAATAAAGTTAGTTGGAGAGTTTTGTGGTAAACTACCAAAATATGAGAGAACATTGAAGCAAAATAAAGTCATATCGTGTCTCTCTCTCTCTCTCTCTCTCTCTCTCTCTCTCTCTCTCTCTCTCTATATATATATATATGCACTTTTACGTAATTTGAGGTAAAATCGATAATTCAAAATTGTGTAATATTGATAAGATATTTTACAATAACTTATCACAATATTCGTTGAATTATTATTAGAAAAACATTATTTGTTCATAACAAGTTGGTTGAAAATTTGACAAATTAAGCAAAATCAACACAAGAGATATATTTTTATAGGGCCGTTCGGTTCGCTAATTCAAGTTTTTAATTCGAGTTGAGATGTGATGTTATGTGAGAGTTTTTTACTGTAGCAAAAAAGTTAGATGTGATTATTTCTGAGAATTTTTTACTGTAGCAAAACTCGAATTCTAAACTCGAATCAGCGAAAAGAACGGGGCTTAATAATTCTTTTATTTTGTTAAGATAACTATTATTTTTGTCCTTTAAAACTGTTTTTCCATTCAGAAAACAGCTATTATTTTCTCTTTTTCTTTTTCACCCTTTGAATCCCCAATCTTTGACCGGCTTTCACAGCCTATACAGACGCTCCAAGCACAAAAAGTTAACAAATAGTTTTTTTCTTTTTTGCTTCGTGGTTACCAAACTTACCAGCTAAGAGGAACAAACAATGTGTACTTTATTTATCATAATTATGCGTAATACGCGTTTTATAATGATGCTTTAAAAAAAAAAGTCAATTTTGTTTCTACAATTAGAAACATTTCTTTTGGATTAGATATAATCATTTTGCATTGTGAAGCTGTTATCACGCTTTGTCGGATTTTTCCCACACAAAGTAGAAAACAATGTTGAGTACTTGCTTCACACAAAACTCATTGTTTGGAAAGTGGGAATTATTTGATTAGCAAATTTAGCAGTGAGTTTTCTGAAACGGCTAAATGATATGCCCAAACCATAATGAGAGCATTCAGATTCTCCATTTGGAAAACCAACTCCATTATTATTCCTTTCTCTCAAGAATTAGTCAAAAGGGTTACCTTTTGTACAGTTTCTTGTTTCACATCAATCTATTATCTATTTATTAGCTGGCCAAACTGCAAGTGGCACTTTAGGTTTAAAAACAATTACTTTATTTTAATAAAATAAAATTTCCCTAGACTCTAGAGCACAACTGTTAACAGGAATCAAACCAAAAAAAAAAAAGCTGTTAACAGGAATCTCCTTGTAAGAATTGGTGAGAAATAGTTCACTACCATGCATTCACATTAGCTGACAGATTCATAAATATACATTTGGTGTAGTAGCTGGAACAATAAGAACTTGAATGTAACCTATGATTCATGAGTTTAGAATTATTATTTATAATTCTAATTTTTTATGAGAAAAAAAAAACTGTAACGAACCAAGAACCATGATTTTAAATCAGATCAGAACCCTCAAAACAAACGGAGCAGAAAAAACACTGCTTTTTAACTTTCAAGCATATATCAAGAACTTTTGTTCTACTTACTTTTGTGTCTTTATGTAATTTTAACTAGATTCAACGATAAAAAATGTGTATTACTGGCATAAGGCATTACCATCAAAAGATCCTAATAGATAATCCCATTGGGCACTTTCATGTAATCTTATCCAAAGAGTCAAATACATTTCTTCCTAAAAAATAAGATAAATATATCATAAGAGACTAAGAGAGGCTTTTCTTTCCCTTCCGGGGTTTAAAATATCAAATAGTAGCGCTGATAAGGGAACAAAGAATTGGTATGTTAGAATAAATATTTTTTCTAGTTTTTGATCCCTAATAAATATATTGGCCCCATCTATCCGGGTCATCATCATTTTCATCAAACTTCAAAGGACTGTTATCAGCTTCAGCAACATCTGCTTCTTGATCTTTAGCGGCTTCATTGTCCCACTCAGATTTCGTCTCTCCTTCCTGCGAGCACAGAGACATACGAGTCGGAAATATGTTAAGATTTGGACAGACAAATGTCATGTTTGTTTCTACAGGAGACTGTTGAAGACCACGCTTGGGTTTATTAGCAATTAAACACAGATGCATGATCCTTTCATGCTTGTACGGCCTTGTGATTCACCTTTCAAAAGGTCTATAATATAATATGATGCAAAACTCATGCGGTGAGAGCAACTTGTATTTGTATTCAAAATGGTAGACAAAATAATTAGTTCTTGAACGAGTCTAATCAGTTCTTTAACGCTTTTGTTTATTTAGGAGCAAGAAAAAGGTAAAAATAATGGACAATTGGATACCATTCAGATTAATTATATATTGGGTTGGTCTTATTTGTAGTCCCTAAACTATAGGCCAACTTCCATTGTCGCCCGGCTATTAAAACATCCCAAAACAAGTTCTTTATCTATCAAATTGTCAGAAATTAGTGATAAGCACGTATAGAATCTAAACAATTCAGGACAATCAATTACTTGAATTATGCACAACGAGCCAAAATACGAGTTCGGAACTGAATTAATGGCAAAAGAATACAAATCGGTGACCTAGGTATGGGGGTGTTCGAGTGACCCCGTGCACTCCCAATTCACTCCCAATTCTAACTTGTCTCAGAAATTCCAGATGATCCCAATGAATTCCCTTCCCTACTATTTATACAATTCTTATTCTCGTAACTAACTTTCCCCCCTAACTCTACAGTCTAACCACTAATTACTGACTATCTCCAGCATATCCGCCTCTTGACTCGCCAGCTCACTCATTACTTGCCAGCTCATCTCCCTGCCCTGCCAACTCATCTCCCGGTCCAGAAATACCTCCCCGACTCATGTCTCCACTGCCATTCCCTGCATCAGCCACTCTCCTCTCCCGAGTCTTCCTCCACACGTAGGTAAAACGCAAAGGAGGCTTATCAATTAGTCATTATGTCCATTTGGCTGTTAAAATCTCTACGGAAAAAGCCACGTGAGGCCAATGCGTGGTTTAGTAGGAGTTAAGTTTCTAATTTTATGTTAGCGCATTGACAGTTAAAAAGTAAGTCGTGCCTTTTATCATTTGTCTATGTATGACGTGAAAATTTTTAAATAGTGGTGCTTCTAGGCATAAATATGATACCTTTATGCTATTCTGGGTCTATAACTTGTGAGATTTGAGAACATAATATGCTCTATATTTTTACAGCATTTCATATCAGCACATTAGCATCTTAGCAGAAGAGAACAATAAAGATAAAGAACCATACATTAGTGTCATCGGCTGGCTCCTCCACCTCTTCCTCCCCTGTGACAGCAATCGACTCATTTTCATCGGACTCCTGTTTTGCCTGAGCAGCAGCTTGTTGCAGCCGTTGGATCACAGACAAAAAATGTGAATGATCTGAAAGCAAAAATTATATCAATGAACAAGAATGCCATATGCGTGTTAAGCATGACAACTCGCACAAAGATGCACGGTGAAGCATGAAACAAGAATGACATTAACTATTTCCTCTTCATAAACTTTTTCCAACACAGGTGATAGAAATTAAAAACTCCAGCTTTCTGGTGATGGATAAAACAAAGTTAAAAAGGATATGCATTTAAGCTAGTATCAATTGTTGCGAGCTACGAAAACCATTTACTTCTGAATATAACGATAACATGTATTTAGCCACTTAACAGTGGCTGAAAGCATCGAGGTTGATGCGTGACATGGACTCTAAACCATCCATTCAAACAAGATAAAAACATAAAACGGAGAGGAACTTTGGTCCACAGAGTTTGGAAAGGAATGAGCCTCCATTAACCATATGCCAACACTTTGCAGGCACCAGAGCAGAATTGTTCATATTACCTATTACCTACTACAAGTAATAGGAGTACAACATATAAAAGACTAAACAATAAACTTCAGTGACAACATAAGATTCACACAGTTACTTTGCAGCATAGGATCAGAAGTATTCTTCTGCTTTCCAATGCAGACAAGCTATAGGAATTAGATATCAGAAACTGTCATAATTTCTGACAATTGAAGCTAGTCTTTCATGTCCTCATTTACGACACTGTTTACCTCAAATTGCACTTCACAGCAGATAGCAATCAGCAATATGACTATGCTATGTATCATGAACAGTTAACCACAACTGCTTTGACCTTAAGATGGGCAGACAACTATATGGTACTTAAAAAGAAAAGTAAGCCATGACATAAGAATAAAAAAAAATCTTTTGTGAGCCTACATATCTAGCAATAGTTTTCTATGATTAGTTTCTGCCATGTTATCAATCCTTTAATAGTTCCGAAAACGGCAAAGCAACTTGTGGCCTCAAACACATCTGCAGTTTGGTGTTACTTCACTTCTCATCTAGTACTTGAAAAGAGTAGAGATGGGAAAGAACGGCTCTTTAATAGCCACCTGCATCTACATAAAGATGCTGATGGGCACACAAACACATAATCTCATATATATACCACACACATTAAAGCATACACAGAGAAAAATGAAGCAAGTGGATGAAAAGAAGTGAGAGCGGGAAGGAGAAATAGCAATAAATTATCGAATTCACCTTTTCTGCGGTTAGTTATAGCTTCAGAGAGCCGCAAGGGATGCTGACGCCCTTCCTTCTTAAATTTCAACTTCACTTGTTCACGTGTTCGACCGGGAAAAAGTTGTTCTATCAGGGAAAAAACTGGCCCAAACTGCCGAACAGCCTAAAGCACATGTTAAAGAAGATATTAGTGGAAAATGGAAATGGCATGTAGTCTAAGGCCCCGTTCATAGGGAAAAAACTGGCCCAAACTGCCGAACAGCCTAAAGCACATGTTAAAGCAGATATTAGTGGAAAATGGAAATGGCATGTAGTCTAAGGCCCCGTTCATTTCGTTAATTCGAGTTTTTAATTCGAGTTGAGATGTGATTTTATGTGAGAGCTTTTTACTGTAGTAAAAAAGTTAGATGTGATTGTTTGTGAGAGCTTTTTACTGTAGCAAAACTTGAATTCTAAACTCGAATCAACGAAATGAACGGGGCCTAAGTCAGCAAATGCCAGTAACTGATTAACATGCTAAAATACTCAACAAATTTACACCAACTGTGCCAGTTGAAAAAAAATGAGACAGACACTCCAGATCTCATCTCAGCCAACGGCATAATGATAGGGCTTCCACTGGAAATCGATAGTTTTGAATTTACGGTCGGATTACCTCATAGAAAAGTTCTGTGTCTTGTTTTGACCATCTTGCACGGGGTGTTTTCTTCATAAATGACTGATGATTGTATAAGGAACTCGGCTGAACCTTGTAACTTGGTTGATCATCGTCAGAATATTGGCCTTGTTCTGAAACAAACGTCTCTTCATTGTAGGAAGCATCTTCGCAAAATGAATTCTCGGCACTGTAAGGAAAGAATCATAAAAGCGAACCAAATCAGGAAAATTCATCTGTTTATGATTTTGTATGCAATGTGTTCTGTTAAATATACTGGCATATAAACTTTGGCTGCTGTTCAAAACTGGCAAATCTTGGCCAAATCCAAAGCTCCAAATTTCATTAATTCCTCAATTCAATATATCAATATACTCAAACATAGTAACACACAATTAAACAATTGAAAAAACGCAATATAACAAAAGACGTTCAAGTATCATATAGATTCATACCGTAATAGCACATAGCTCAACTGAAAATATGGAGCAAGTAGAAAGGGAAATTCAACTAAAGAATTCAGGCACCTTTGATAGGACTGTGGTGTCTTCAGTTTTGCTGCATCTTTAATCTGCTCAAATAAATTGGAGACCAGTAACAAATAGATGTCATTAAATTTCCAACTACAAAACAAACGTAATATAAAGTGAAGAAAAAAATAGTCATGTCCTCCCATTAAGAAAAAAGCATTGAAAAAATAAAGGCTACTTACAGCTATCCGCTCTCTATGTTCTGCAAGAAGAATAAGATCCTTGATAGGCAGTCTCTGAGGATCAATTTCATCTTCTGGGGTGTCAAGTAAAGCCTTTTCCACTAGAGAAACGAAAGTAAATAAGCAACACAGTACCAAAAATCATGCTTCACATTCTTAAACATCCAAAAACATGTAATTACCACGCCTTTTGCTCCGGCGCGAGGAATGTGAGAACTTTTTAGGAGGTTCCTTGGTTGACTCATTATATGCTTCCTTTGTGCTCTTACGCTTCCGACCTGGTTTCTCATTTCCAGGTACAGGTTCCTTTACCTTTCTAGGAGTTTCCCTCTTCCTAGGCATACTATCCACTCTATATTCATCATCATTATCCTCGTCTTCATCTCTATTAGAAGTAGTGGGACGTTCACATGTGGAGTCATTTACATCATAGGCTTCATCAAATGGCTCGTCAACAAGCCGTCTTCTCCGCTTCCTCAACTGCATCGATGATTTCCCACCTTCAACCCCCTGACTGGTGGTGGAAGATTTTTCATTCTTCCTGTTATATTTTGGTTCAGTACAATCTTTTCCCATCCTACTCTTGCCACCCTGAACAATCAAATGATATAAACAAAGACTACCTAAGATTATACACAATTACCTTATAAGCCAAATAGCAACAATATGGTCAACTATTTTAGTTGAAAAGGTTATCACCTTTCCCAGCACTCCTGGGTCATCTTCTGAATGCATATTACCCAAAACGGTGTCATCTAATTGAGTAGCTTCTGTAAGGTTTGTTGGTTCTGTATCCCCATGAATTTCTGGGGTTGGTGCTATAGCACTAGGATCGCTAAATCTTGCAGACGAGCAATCAAGAATGTCTTCACGCAGGAATTCAGAAATAGAGTCCCCATGTGCATATCCATTGTCAAAAGGAACAAAATGCGCATCTTCTGAAGGTAGAGAAGATCTAACTTGAGTTTGAGGGTTGCTTGTACTAGGTTTCTGTTTTCCTTTTCCCAATTTAGGCTTGGGTTGAAATTTGCCAGCACGTTTCCCTGAAAACCCCAAAGTTAAATATACAAAAAGGATTAAGATCAACATAGAAGTATAAAGAAATAAAGAAGGCAGGCGATTTCTTACATACCAGAAGGAACAGTGGCGTCACATGTTTCAAAATCAAATGAAGTCCCAGATACCTGAAATTCAATCGCAAAATCGATCAATCTAAAATAATACATTTTTTTAGAACATGTAATCTTTATATCAAACAAATATTTAACCTTTGTTTCTGGCTTTCCATTATTAATATGAACTTCCTCATGTTTGTCAGAAACAACAGTTTCACTAAAGGTGACTGGGTCATTTGTTGTATGAAAATCAGATAAAGTCTGAGAAGGTGCAACATCACATATTGTGAATGCTGAAGACTCAAAGGAGCCATCTGCTGGCGCACTAAAATTTTCCTTCGAATGAGTTGCCATTCCTGAAGGTGAAGTAGAACCTCCCAAATCAGTATTAATAGAAAATGGTGTTAAAAACTTATCCCCATGCTGGACATCCATATCAACCTTACACTGTGACTTGCTTGCCTCACTACCTGCTTGCACAATACAGAATATACTAAGGCTCCCACCATATTATAAAAGTCTAACAAGGTGTTTGTGAAAGAACTCAAAATTTCACACCACGCACCTGTACCATTTGTAGTTTGTGTAATAAAATCATCAAGATATTCCAGCCCAGAAAATAAGTCTACATTCTGAACACATAACAAAATTCAACAAAATAGTATCATTTTGCTGAAACCATTAAATAAGAAAAGAGATTCCGTTTTTACCTCTCCTAAAGATTTCCCAAAGCTAGAATGCCAATCTTCACTTGCATCAGGAACAGAAACCTTTGATTGCAAAGCATCTGTGGCATGTGGTTGGGAGTGGATACCTACTTCCAAGTTTCTAGTGTTGTCGGGAACTGAATCATTTGAACACGGATAACCACCATTTTCTGGTGGCTCTCTACTCCCAAGGATCTCTGACGTAGCTAGAGATGAATCAATGCGTTCAGTGGGTGTGCTGTTTCCAGTATCAATAGATTGAACAGACTGTATAGAGTCAACAATAGGTAATGTGGCTGGTGACGCTGGTTCAATAGATTGAACAGACTGTATAGAGTCAACAATAGGTAATGTGGCTGGGGACGCTGGGCTTTCAATCGTTTTTTCAAGAGATGAAGCAACTCCTCTGGTTGCTCCCTTTTGAGCCTGGGGCTTTATCTTGGTTCGAAACTTATGACCAGCCCGAGCTGCAAAGTTAAACTTTCTCTAAGTCATAAAAGCAAGATGAGATTTAAATTGCAAGTCGAAAGTGCAACTGGTATTTTGCTTACTACTGCTTGGGGTAGACTCAGAAAGAATATCATCAAAAAGATCCACATCAAATTGCATTGAATCTACCTAAAGAAAACGAAATTCAAAACGGTCAAAATCAAGAATGATCTCTTGGCAACATACCATTAGTAGACTTCGAGAATCAAGAATTCAAAATTCTCACCTCGGTTGACGATTTCCCAATAGCAGCAGGTTGAACAGATGCTCCAGTATCCAAGCCATTTGTGGGAAGTGTAACAAGCTTTTCCTCTATAGAGTCGGGCAGAGTTGAAGGGGCTGATGCAGAAATGTCTTGTTCACTACTTACCCTAACTGCCATACAATTCATTAGCCCATTAGCATGAAAAGAATTCATACAAACTAGACAGCCATTCAATGAATCACTTACCACTAATTGAGGCAGGTTCTACACCAGAGCCAATGAAATGATCCACATCAAGCCCAACCAAATCAACCTAAAACAAATAAATGTATGCACAATAAAAATGAGGTACCTATTGTAACAATTGAGCAATACAATTACAATGAAAGAAACGGATCAATTTTTACTTCACTTTCGGGTGCTTGAGAGCCAGAATGCCCGTCACCACCCTCTGGTACCCCACTAGTTGTTTCTAGTCCACGCTTCTGAAGAAAAGCATCTACGGAACCGCAGTCCTTTGTTACACCCTCTGGTACTCCAGAAACTGAATCTTCATGCTTTTTCAAAGACTCCTCAACCCCATTTTGAATATTCAATCTATCATCTACCACAGCAGTAAGCAAAACCGATTTCCCTGCATCCAAAGTTGGGGAAAAAAGTCCACCAGTCCTTTCCTTTGTATCACTCGGGACCACTGAAGGAGCTGATGCAACTGTTTGCTTTTTAGGTCGGTGTTTGACCTTGGGTTGAAATCTCCCACCAGCCCTTGCTGCAAAAACTTAAAATAATCATGTTACATAAGGACAAATCACAAATGTAACACCTACAGCAACTTAAAGGGAAATACTCTTACCATGGGTGGGAGCAGATCCAAAAAAGTCGTCGAAAGGGTCCATACTGAACGTCCAAGTAAATTACTTGATAGCTAGACTTCAGTGAAAGAGAAAAAAGAAAACAAATAAAAGGAATCGGTTTCATTTTGAATTCAAAATACTAAGGTTGTAATATCAGCTTAGAAAGCAATTAGAATGAATCAATTTGCCTGGAAAGTTCCACATCATCCATTACTAGTAATACATAGACGCCCCTTGATCAATAAGAGAATAAACTAAATTGATGAATGCGAGTCTCTTCTTCTCTCTCTGTTCGGGTTCTATCAGAATGTTCGACCACAAAATTATCAAACACAAACGAATTCTCAAGTTTACTAAAAGGGTATGTTTGGAAAAAAAAAAGATTTTGTGATGGATGAATAGGAAATAAAATACAACGAAAATAGGAGGAATAATATACAAATTTTTCATCATGTTTGAAGCCCAGAGGGAAACTTAACAGGAAAAAGGATTCCACAATATATATATTTTCCTCTCTTCCATTATTCTTATTGTTGAGCATTTAAAAGTAAAACGAATACACATCATTCTCTCTCTACTCCTCTCTTTACTTTCTCTCTCTCTCTCTCTCTAATCCCTCCTCATTCCACCTTGACTTTTTCCCTCCTCCTCCTCCTCTCTACAAAAAAACAGGGGAGGAATTAAATTGAATAGAAACTTTTGAAAGGAAAATTGGGGAACACCCAGAGATTCAATCCATACACCAAACTTCAAAATTAGGAGTTTAGAACAAAAGGGGTCGTAAAAATACTACTCAAAATCCCCAAGTGACGAAAAGAAAGGTGCAAAAATGGGCAATATTATCTTTTACGCATTTTATCAAACACATTGCAGGCGTTACCAGTAACCTAGCAATTACGCCCAAGCTCGTCACATAATTATCGAGAAACAATCAGAAATCAATACACACGGTCCCGAAGAAAAGGACTTCCAGACCAATCTTGTTAAAAATCAACACAGATACACTACAACGTAATGGAAATAGTGGAAACCGGAAAAATGAAGGAAACGGAAGATGAATGACATACCACACGGCAAAGGACGAGACGAGAGGACGAGCGGAGGCGCGCAGGAGCGTCTATGAATGAGATATCCTGTCTATCTTTCTCGCCGTCAGATGAATTCGTGTCTCGTGTGCGCGCTTTTGCTACTGCCTGGGGCTTTTTCAGTGTTTATAATAAACTCGGGGGAATTTTCGAAAACGCCGTAAACGAAAGCCGTACACGTTTTGTTGAATCGAGTTTAGAATTCGAGTTGAGATGTGATTTTATGTGAGAATTTTTTACTGTAGTAAAAAAATTAAATGTGATTATTTATGAGAGCTTTTTACTATAGAAAAACTCGAATCAGCGAAGTGAACGGGGCCTAATACTATTGTATTTTTGTCCTTATTTTTAAATTTATTTTATGTGTTATTTTTCCTATGTTACAGGTTATTATTTCTTTTTTTAAGATATATTTTTTAATAGCATTAAAATTTTGTATAAATAATAGAGTTTGAAAAAAATAATAATTAAACTTAAATTTTTTTTATAAAATTTTATATTGAGACTACAAATTAGAATAGTCTTTATTTCACTTTAAAAAAATTGGTAGTAAATAACATATTTATGAAAATAAATTAAGTAAATAACATATTTTAAATTTATTTAAAGTATATAGTAGTTTATTGTGTAAATATTTCATTTACGACAAATAAAAGGATTTTTTTTCACGTACATTTTCTTTTCACCACTAGTAAAAAGATTTTTTTCCATGTAAATAGAGATTTTTTTAAGGAATTTTAAAAAATATAATCAATAAAGTAACACTATTTTATTTCTATCAATGTTGTTAAATTTATTTTATGCTACTAATCACTTACATATTGTCTTTCGTAAGCTGCATGTTACTTTTCGTAACCTACAAGTTATCACTTCATATTCTGCGGGTTATTTTTCGTAGTGGCATTAAAATTTTAAATAGTGACATAAATAATAGAGTTGAAAAAAATAATAATTAAACTTAAAATTTTCTTTTGTTTTACCATGTAAATTCTTTTTACTATTATAAAAAAATATTTACACAATAAACTACTATTTAATTAATTTAGTTTAATAAATCTTTTATTTACTATAATTTCTCAAAAAAAAGCTTAGTGTAACGGCATTGTGCTGAAATGAATGCAGTTTTTTTCTAAAAGAAAAAAAATACAAAAAATACTCGACCCATGAAGACCTAGCCTACCCACCTAGTAGATGAAGAATGATAGTCAGGTATAGCTTCAACTCGACCATGGTCGGGCTGCTAACATGACATCGACTGCAACGATCGAACCAGATTATTTTTTAATGCACTCCTAGAGACACTATTGTATTTGGAATATATATAAGAGAGGAGCTCCTTTTTTTATTTGAAATTATTTATGGGACGTTTGATTAATAGGTTCATAATCATTATTTATGATTTTGATTCAAGAACGAACCCTTAAAACAAAAACTGAATGATTATTACATTTCTTGCAGCTACCTACTCTCGCCTAATACATGTTCTCATATTATGTCCCTCCTTCCCACATTTGTTGCATCTTAAGTTTACATAAAATCTTCTCTTAAGTATTCGCGGTGTCTATTTACTCGATTATTTATTTTCATTGTAAAATAAATAAATAATTAATTAATTAATCAATATAAACATACAAAACATTAAGTAAAAAATAAGGATTAGTTACAAAAAATTTTCCTTAAACTATACCCCTTGTAACACTGTGCTCCCTGATATTTGAAACGTAACATCTGTTGTCATTGAACAATAAAATGTTAACAAAAAAGCCCCATTCGTTAGGTTTTTTAAACAGAAATTGACATTTAATTTGTTATTTTGGGGTACTTTAGTAGTCTATGACTTCAAATTTAGTTTGAATTTAAAACTAATTTAAATTTTAACTTTTAATTATGATAGATTTATTATTGATTGAATGTAAGTTAAAAATTTTATGGATCTCTTTTGATAGAATAAAAAAAAATATGAAGTTTTTTCAATATTTAAGTTAGTTTAAAAATAAATTAGGGCTCGTTTAGTTTGTTGATTCGAGTTTTAAATTCGAGTTGAGGTGTGACTTTATGTGAGAGCTTTTTATTGTAGCAAAAAAATTAGATCTGACTGTTTTTGAGAGCTTTTTACTGTAGCAAAACTCGAATCAATGAAGTGAACGGGGTCTAAATTTTAAACCATAGAATTTCTAAAATACCCTCAAATTTCAGTTAAAAACTTAACATATGGAGCTTTTTGTTAACATTTCATTGTTCAGGGGAACGAATGTTACGTTTAAATATCGGGAGGTAGAGTGTTATAGGGGGTATAATTCATGAGAAATTTTTGCAATTAATCTAAAAAATAAAAAGAAAGATAGTTTTAAATTTTCATTCATATTATGTAATAGATTATACTTAAAATTATATATTATAGTATATTATACATAATATATCTAATTTAAAGATAAAATATAATTAAACGGGGTGAGTAAACGGAGAATAGGGTCCCTGTGTTTTCTTTTTTTAATGCTTGAAAGGGTTGTTGCAGGTTAATTTACGATAATACTCTTCTTAGATGGGTCATGTACCTAACATATGACGAATTCCGTCACTCATTGTAATAGAAGAGAAAAACTTGTTAACGATACAAAGTTCGGGGAGAACAGATGTTACGTTTTAAATTCAGAGAGTAAAGTGTTACAAGTGTCATAGTTAAGGAGAAATTTTTAAAATTAATCCTATTAATTACATGTACTCGAAACAAAATTTCATAAATATAACTAAACACAATTTTATTTTTTTACTATACTCAAAATAATCTCTTAAAATACCAACTAATATAATTTCAGAATCGATCCTAAAATAATTTTTAAAATAATCTCATTTTTATTTTTATACCAAAAATAAAATTATTTTGAAAATATTACTAAACGGGCCCGTTGATTCTTTTTGAAAAAATCTGAATATCTTTAACATCTTTCGTCTTTGAAGCTGAGATGAGATCTTCCTCGCCTTCGTCTTCCATATTGTTAAATATGGAAGAGAAATTTATTTATTCATCTTCGTCTTCTGCATCACTGTCGTCGAAGATTGGATCAAAATAAATTGTTTGATCTTTCTCTCCCGCGCAATGTCGTAAAAGATTGGACCAAATTCAACTTCTGGATCGTCTTCTCCAATATCAATAAACATCATTCACGAAATCATCTTTGTCGTAGGGATTTTCATCAAACGTTGGTAGTGGCTCAAATTGGATGTCTTCAATAACTTCTTCATTAATGGTTGGTGGTGGAACCACAAGTTGGAGAGCGACAATTTGTTGTTGCAATTTTGCGATCTGCAACTTGAGTTCTTCCATCTCGTCTGGTCGGCGTCGTGGAGATATGGTGGTGGATGGTCGTGAGAGCTCTACACCGACTGATGTAGCGGAAGCGTGAGAAAAATAGGAAACATGGATAAATTCATATTATTCGTTGATTCACTTAGAATACTAAAGATCCGTTGATTCAATTGAAATACTAAAAATAAAACTTCTATAAATCTGTTGATACCAGAAAAATAGACATTAATCACTCGGCTGAGATAACTAGAAATTGAGAATAAACTTTGAATTTTATTAAAAATTGAATTGCACTGTAACAATCCTACAAGTCTCTCTTCAAATAGGTAATCGAAAACAAACTATAGGAAATAATCCCAAACTAATTTTAGAAACAAAAAAAGAAGGAAATTAAATTTATTCTAAATTGCAGAAATAACCTAAAAGAGAAAGGAAACAATAAAACAAATTCGATTCATAAATTGGAAAGTAAATCTGTTGCTTGGTCACCAATTTTCGGACCTTTGACTCCGCCGATCGGTTAACCGGTTGGTCTTCAACCGTCTGGCTTTTTTTTGTTCCTTTGCTTTGTTTTTTTTTTTTCCTTTTTTCATTCTCTTTCTTTTGTGCTTCTTTCCCCCTTTAACTCTCTTATTTCTCTGTCTTGTTTATGTTTTTCATACCATTTTAAATCTTAAATCCTTTTTTAAATCTTAATCTGAAATCTTAAATTCCAAATATAGAAAAGAATGGGTGTGTAGCTATCGTTTATCATATAATACTAATCCAAAACGTTGAGTTTGAAGCGATTTATCTTTTTTCCCTTTTTTTAGTTTCTACTCCTTTTTTTTTTTTATTATTATCTATAATTTATGTTCATCATATAATAGTCCAAAATAGTGAGTTTTAAGTAATTTGTTGTTTTTTCTCGCTTTCCTTTTTAAGCTTCAACATATTTGTTTTTGTTTTATTTTGTTACCTTATAATTTTAGAATGTTTTATTGTATTTCTATGATTAAATGTACTCTTAAATTATTATTAACATACAGTCTTTTTTTCTCTCTAAAAATTAAGTGTGAGGGAATCAAACTCTAAACCTTATAATGAAGTCAAGTTTAGAATTATCTTTAAAATATGTCTTCCACCTCTTAATATATACTTTTTTAAGTTCTTAAGTACTTTTTTTATATTTATTTGTATTCTACGCTGTAAAAACTTTAATGACGAACACACATATCTAAGAGTATGTTTAGTTCATAGATTTAAAATTATTTTTAATTTATGTGTATTTTTTAAAAAAAAAATACCGTAACGAATAATAAACTATGATACGAATTCTTACTCTAAACGCACACTATTAGTGTATGAAATTTTGCTCAAGTATTATTTTATATCTACACATTTGTACATCTATAGTATACATCTATAATGCAATATATAGAAATTTCGACAAAAAAAACAACGGGCTTTTTTTTTTTCCTTTGTTTTTTCTTTCTTCTCCTTTTGCTCCCTTCCTGTTCTCTGCCCCATCGGCTCTGTTCTCCCTCTTTCTTTCCTGGTTCCTCGTCGGCTTCCATACGCTCTAACTCTCTCTCTCTCTTGGATGTTTCTTCACGCCGGTTTCTTGGACGCAACTTCTTTGGGTCCCTCTCTTTCTTTTCCTCACTTTCTGCAGAAAAACACCAGCCTTCTCTCTCGTCAAAATCACAGAAAAAATAAAATCTAGACAGATCCTTCAAAGAAATTGGACCAACTCCTTAGAAATCGTTGTTGGTGGGATTTTGAACATTTTGGAGCAAAGCAACCCGAAAATCATATTTAGGGTGCCGCTCTTGGTCTACAGATCTTGAGGTTTGTTTTATTTTTGGTATTTCAAACTATTTTCATGAATTTTTTCTAGATATTTTTGTTTAAGAAATTGGTTGAAAAATATTGATATGAGGTTATATGTAAAGTTCTTTGGGTTTTGGTGGAAATCATATGAATTGAAGATGATTGAAGAGAAGGATTTTGGTTTCAAATCTGTTGCTTCAGTTTGTGACTTGAAAACTTTTGGTGAAAATCGGAGTGATTGGCTAAGGAATTCAAATTTAGAGTTCTAAATATGATTATCCCCATTATCCTCTCTGTTTCATTCTATATTTTGGTGATGCGTATTTTGTTAAATTTCAAGTTATATGAGATTTTCTTCATAAACGTTTATGGCACACTAATAGACTCTCATATTACAAAATTATATTGGAATTACGCCATCGTTATTGGAACTGAAACTAAACTGTTGAGTTATCATATAGAGGTCCTCGGAACGGTTAGAACGGAAATGGCCAGATACAAGTACTGGGAGAACAGTCCAATAGATAATTTTTGCTAATAAGGTAGGATTTCCTATCTTTTTCTTTGATATCCTGATTTTACTGTTTTGTTCTGTTTCATGTTTATGTATGCAACTAATATAGTTGTCGTGGTCATTGTTGTTGTTGCTTTTTCCCGCGAATCAAGTTTTCTTCTTTGGAGGTCATCTTGCAGGTTGTTTTCTGGCTTAATTTGGTTTTTGGAATGGAGAAAACAAAATCGGAGTTGCATAATTGGGAATCCATGATAGCGTGTTTTCCTGTTTTTAAATGTGTTATCTTATTGGTGTTTATTTACTCATTGGTTTTTGGGGGTCATTGTTGTTGTTGCTTTTTCCATTTGCTTTCAGCTTGTTTTCCTATTTATAAGTGTGTTATCTTATTAGTGTTTATTTACCCGTTGGTTTTTTGGGGTCATTGTTGTTGTTGCTTTTTCCATTTGCTTTTAAATGCACACAATTTCCAATTCGACTGTGTTTTGCTATGACAATAAACAAAGCACATGGTGTCTTACCATTCATCTCTACCTATATTTGCAGGAACCTATGCGGAAAGCTGAAGCTGTAGGCAACAACGACTGTCCTGTCAAGATTAAGCTGGTTGCTCCTCCATTGTATGTTCTGACCACTCAAGACTCTTGAAATTCTATGAGGTGAAGTGGTGAACGAAAAGGTACGTCAGTCTTGTTTTCAAAAAAAAAAAAAAGTTTGTATATAAAAATTTCTGCTGCGTCTTTGTTTGTTATGCAATTGTTAACAAATGCTTTTAGATTGTTTCTCTTGTGATATTATATTCATGTTGTTCTTGCTTGATAACATTTAAGATTTCTCTGTTTCATTTCAATGACTTTGGTAAAAGGAATTTGTGTTGCAATGTGTAGAGAGTTTCTTATACATTTGAATACCCCATTGTTATGTTTCTTATAAATTTGGCTTGACCCATAGTTGTTTGGACTCAGAACATGAAGTTTGTTTGGTTGAGCTAAGGCAAGGTAAAATTATATTCTTGGAAATAAGGCTATGCTAATTATACTGAATATTTTTTGTAGTTTGCTATGCAGAGATTTATCACAGTCCTTATTTCTTGTTCTTGGTTCAGTTTAACTACATTTTGGGCCGTTTGGCGTTGCTTTTAGAGGCTTCTTTTAGTTTTTCTAAAGAAGCTACAATAGGTCCGCGTGTTTGGTAAATCTTGCTTTTGCCCAGCAGCTTCTAAAAACTGCTGCCAAACAGTAGAATTTGAGAAGCGGGTTATGGGTTGCTTTTACACGACTGGTTCTGCTGTCATTGTCTCTATTTACCCATTTTATTTTTCATACCAAAATAAAAAAATATTTTTAAAATATTTTACTGTGTAAATATACCATTTTTTTATGGAAAGTTGCTAAAATTTTATTAGAAGGCCAAATTGGCAATAGCACAACGAGCAACACACAAAGGAATAAAATCACATCCTAGGAGGTCTATCTTTGCCTGATAAACAGAATACGCTAAAGTATGGGCTACATTGTTCCCAGACCTCGCAACATAACAACATTTCCAATCCACATTACTAGGCAAAGACTGACAAATATCACTAATAATAACACCCCCCTCCCCAACTGAGAATAATATCAGAATTTAAAACTTGCATAACTTGAATTAGGGTGTGTTTGGTTGGGTGGAAAGGAATAGAATAGAATAGAATGGAATTCTAGTTTGATGTTTGGTTGGATTTATAAGAAAGGAATGATCATTCAAAAGGAATGGCCATTCACCCATTTTGGTTGCATCATCATTCCTTCCTCATATGGGAGGAATGGCCATTCTAAGTTATTTTTTTTTAATTTTTTTTTTCCATAATTACCCTTCAATATTATAATATAATTAAAATAGATTATATAGTAGTTATATCTTATAATATAAT